TATATATATATATATATATATATATATATATATATATATATATATATATATATATATATATATATATATATATATATATATATATATATATATATATATATATATAGTCATAGTTATTAATAAAATAAATAAAGTTTTATATATTAATAAAAAATATGCAATCTGCACTCTCGAAATGAAAGTATAAAGACTGCCACCTGGTGGTGCAAAGAGAAATCTTATTGGAATGAACTTTTTAAATGGCTTTAGTTCAATTTGTGTATGATAATAGACATGCACAATATGTGACTTTTTTAAAAGCAATAATACATTTATGCAGTCATAAACATGTTTTGACAGTTAATATGACGGTGATTTGATGCTTCACAAAAGTTGCAGACACCTTTACCAATATCAAAATGCTTTTGTAAACATCCAGTTATTCTTTACACCGATTAAAAAAAACGGCTACTATAATACTACTATGGCTACTACAATAAGGAAAATCCGCTCTAACTGTAAAACTAAATGAATTGCTCTTGACACATGAAAGAGCCCAGCATGCAGCCCACAACAAGGTGTAAAGTTCTTGCATAGCATGTTTAACTAACCGTTTACTTTGAATTTGATGTAATTTTGCTCAAATGGATAATTGAATATTAATCAGATGATGTCATTACCCTGCTGTGCCATCAGCCAATCATTGCATAACTGATCATGATTTCAAGGATCGATTAATCTGTCCTTCACAACACACGCAGGGATCTCAGATCAGTTCATCCAGACATTTTTATCTGATTTGCGAACTTGTTTGAAGAACCAAATTAGCCAGAGATCAGTTATCAAGATTAAAAGATCCAGAATCAGCCAAATCATCTTAGATCATTTAAGCGAGCTACGAAGAACGGATCCCAGATTTAGATATAAACAAAACAAAATCTAAAATCTATTTGGATTAACACTAAAATTTGGCCAGAATTGGAGAGGAGAGCACTTTCGTTTTTTTTAGCTATAGCAGAAACTGGTGAAAAATCTGCGTACTCAATAACAACAACAACTACAACAAAAAGATCAAGTATTAAAGGGAAAGTTCGCCCAAAACTGACAGCTCTGTTATCATTTACTCACTCTTTACTTGTTTCAGATCTTTATGAGGTTCTTTAATCTGTTGAACACAAAGGAAAATATTTAGAAAGATGTCATGTTTTTCCTACTATGGAATTCAGCTTTCTTCAAAATATCTTCTTTTGTGTTCAACAGAAGCTCATGAAGGTTTGAAAAAAAAAAGTAAAGGGGAAGTGAATTATGATGGAATCTTAATTTTCAAAGTATCGCTTTATAGGGTTGGGTCGATAGTAGGGATGTAACGGTATTGTAAATACCGTCATACCGCAATAGAATTTTTTTCCGATATTACCGTAGTCGCATGACTCGATAAAACTATAGGTCTTCTGAGAAAATTTGCTCAGGCGAATGAAGCGAACGGGAGGTAGCGAAAACTACAATTCCCATCAGCCCATGCGTGGCCATCATCCTTTGCAGTCTGTTGTCTCTACAGATCCAGTAATGCGGAAATGGAGTGTGCTCCTAATAGCGGGGATGAAAAAGAGCTGGAAATGATCGAACCTAAAGCGGGTGTTGTCGTCGCGCGCGTTCTGATCAGCTGTGTTGTCGCGCGCGTACTGTAAAGCGGGGAGGGGGGGGTTGAGCGCGCATACTCAAGAGCGGTGTTGTTGCGCGCCTACTGAAGGGCGGGATGGAGGGTGTGTCGCGTCGCGGGGACACTTTTGAACATTTTGGAAGGGCATTTTCTATCCAAGACTAAAAAGGGCATGTGCACTGCACAGGTTGAGCCCTATTTGTGCACGTGCCTGCAAGTTGGGGAATACGACTAATAGCAGTCATGGGGACTGCAGAAACACAGCACACTGTTCAGATTGATGCAGACATTGACTTGTACCACAAAAAGACCTCTATCTCACTCATGGCTTGTCCTCTCAAGTGGGGTAAAGACAATGCACAGCCTTACCCTCTGCTGTCAACCTGGGCCAAGTCATATCTCTGTCCCAGAAGCCTCAGTCCCAAATGAGAGGGTTTTTTTTTCTGTTGCTGGGGACATACCCAGAGATCCCAGCTTTTACCAGATTTTATTTATATGATAATTTTCCTTTAAACCCATCTCTATCTAAGTGAGTGAGTGATTAAATGTTGAATGAGATGAGTTTTCAACAATACTAAATTGAAACTTTATTTTTTTACATGGTTTAATAATTTTTTATTATTAAAATTGAAGTTCCTGTTTCAAAGCTTACAGATAGATGGCTAATTTGTATGTCATTGACACTTTTGGCACTTTTTGGAGTATTTTTTGGAGTATTTTTTGTAGTTTTGTTTTTCCTGTAAATTATTCAATAAATACCGTACCGTGACATTCATACCGAGGTATTACCGTACCGTGAAATTCTAATACCGTTACATCCCTAGTCGATAGACAATGCGGTCATCCATTGCCGATGACCGATAGACATGCTGTCTGTCACAGCAGCGACCCACTTGTGAAAAATACACACTTAGGCCCTGTTTACACTAAGTTAGAGGACTTCGTTTTAAAATGGCATTCTAGAATGAAAACGATCCACGTTCACGCTGGCGTTACTTAATAATTTTAGCGAAAACCTCAGATACTGTTGGTTGTGCACCTATTTTAACAACCAGGTTTGTCAATTCCATTATAAAACACAGATCCCTCTGTCTATTCATGCCAAAGTCCTGCGGATTTATGATTTGGTTATGGGTAAACCAAAGACCATGCGGGTCAGGTAGTTGAAACGCTAGGCTACAGATAATGAATTCGCTATAAATTAATTATTCATAAATAATTAATTCACCACTGCCTGCGCTGAAGATACCATCATCCATTGCGATGTTTCACTTTAGACATTGTACAATGCCAAATTGGTCAACATCGCCCAACCCTATCGCTTTAACATGATCCCCATGAACTAATACTGGCTATTGATGTCATGCATTTAGTTTAATGACTTTTAAACGTAACTTTCCCCAACACTGTCTATTAGTGACTTTTATTAATATTTTTTTCATAAAATAATACATTTTATATATCTAGAAATGATTTACACATCTCCAGGCTAACAATTTCATACGGGCTTCTCTCTGAACACTCCATCCGTGGTTGACTTACTATTTGTAGTCATGCTGGGTCCATGAGTTGGTGCCTCGGATGCGAAGTGAAGCACGCTCCGCAGCGAGCTAATCAGATTCTCCTTGAAACCGCGACCGAGGCACACGTAGAGCAGCGGGTTCAGGCAGCTGTTGATATACGCCAAGCACAGCGTCAGCACGTGGGCCAGATTCAAGTTGACCTCAAACCTCTCCGACGGTTGATCCGACACCAGTATCAGAAGATCCACAATGTGTAGAGGAGTCCAGCATAAGAAAAACCCGAGCACCAGCGCCAGGATCACACGCAGCGTTCTGCTGGACTTGTCTCTTTGCCTTCGTCCAGAACTCGTCATGTGGTAGACCTTCCAGTGGCTGATGCAGATGATTAAAAAGGGAAGCAGGAAAAACAGAAAGCTGCGAATGATGGTTATCGCCCATGCGTGACCCAAGCTGCTGTAGGAGCCAGTGCACACTGTTTTAGTCTCACTATGGTGTTGTATCTCCATGTGAGCGAAATAAGGAGAACTACCTAAAAGCCCGAGGATCCAGATGATGAAACATAGGATGCGAGCTTGTCGGGGTTGCCTGTTGTTTTGGCACCACACCGGTTTGGTCACTAGTAGGAAACGGTCTAAACTGATCACGACCAGGAGGAGAACGCTGCAGTACATCATCATGTAGAAGATGCCGCTGAACAACTTGCAGGCTAATGCACCGAATGGCCAGTGCTGGTCCTGGGCCAGTGGGACCATGAGGATGGGAAGGGACAAGCAGCACAATAGATCCGCGATAGCCAGATTCAGAAACCACTGGGCGTTCACTGAGTTTGGCATCCGAAACCCGGTCACCCACACAACCAGAGCATTACCTGGGACGCCCAGCAGGAACACAATGCCGTAGCAGACCAGAGTGATCCAGTGCCGGGTACCAATATGGGACAGTGATATTTCATTTGGTGACGGAATGGTGTCATTCCCAAAATCATAAGAAGTCCAGTCAGAATTATTGTCATCCATTTCAGCTGTGAAATAGAAATATAAGAGAAAATGCACACAGGTGAACCAGTGTAAATTCAAGCTCATGGAGCTCCATATAAAAGCCAGACACTTTTGTTACACAGGCCAAGGGCTGGGCGATTTGGTCTAAAATAAAAATCTCGATTAATTGAACATTTTAACTAGATTACAATTAAGTGAAGTTTATTTATAAACTAATTTTGAGAGGGTCACGTGCTTATGATTGCTTGCAACCGGCCCCGCATTATTCAATTTATGATTCACCAATCAGACGATTCCTGAGCCACTATATGTACCCCAAGTTCCATATAACAGCCATCTTCGTTTTGAAGAATCCCCCCTTCCACCCCTACTTCTCCTCCTTTTCTACATGGGTGGTACGATGGCCCAGTGGTTAGCATAACTCAATGGGGCAAAAACAGCCCCCAACATAATGTAAGGGTAGTCAATTTGTCCAGTGTGTATTGACTTTTTAAAAAATTTCAAAGCATTTTCCTAAAAAATGTGTCAAGATAGGTTTTGTCAACTAGAATTATTCTGTCTGCTGAAACACAGAGAAAGCTGTGGCCAAATTAAGACTAAAAATCACCCCAGAGTGGATGTAATCATCCCCAACAGCACACAAGGGTTAACGAGTCCAAAACTGCAACATTACTTTTTTATTACGCAACCCTGCGGGCACTGTTAAAATGTGCTTTTTTTTCTCTCAGGTTAGGTAATTGAATAAAGGGATAATTCACTTACAGTAGAAATTACCTGATTGTTTATTCTCATGAATGTGGTTTGAAACCTTTAAATAGATTTTTTTCTGTTGAGCAAAAAAGATGTTTTAATTAATGTTAACTTCTTTAGTTGATGGGTGCCAGCAGCAGCCAGCACTTTTCAGATTACCTCATGTTGTATTCAACAGAAGAAAGAAACTCAAAGGTTTGAACCACGTTCATGTATATGATGACAGAATCGTCATTTTGGAATGAACTGTCCCTTTAAGCAATTTTGAGGCATTCAAAATAAAAAGGGAAATTTACCCAAGATGAGAATTTGGATGACTCGCTCTCGTTTGTCTAACACCATGTAAATGTGTATTTCAACACTGTGTTTTAAGTTAAGATATCATGAAGCAATTCCAGGGTATTTAAAATCAAAAGTGAAGTACATCTAAAATAAAACTTACAAATAAAGTTTTTTTTATTTTTATATACTAAAACTATACAGAGCAGTTGTTTATTTTGTGCAGATAATGAAAGATTATTTGACCCCATTGATCTTCATAAAAAGAAAATAAATTCCAAATGCTCCACAGAGTAAATAAATCAGAGAATTTGTTGATATATATATATATATATATATATATATATATATATATATATATATATATATATATATATATATATATATATATATATATATATATATATATATATATATATATATATATATATATATATATATATATATATATATATATATATATATATATATATATATATATATATATATATATATATATATATATATATATATATATATATATATATATATATATATATATATATATATATATATATATATATATATATATATATATATATATATATATATATATATATATATATATATATATATATATATATATATATATATATATATATATATATATATATATATATATATATATATATATATATATATATATATATATATATATATATATATATATATATATATATATATATATATATATATATATATATATATATATATATATATATATATATATATATATATATATATATATATATATATATATATATATATATATATATATATATATATATATATATATATATATATATATATATATATATATATATATATATATATATATATATATATATATATATATATATATATATATATATATATATATATATATATATATATATATATATATATATATATATATATATATATAATATACATATATATATATATACATATATATATATATATATATATATAT